TGCCTGAAAATCACACAGGAAAACCTGGCAGTTTCAGAGCCGGAGGCCATGTTTCTGTGACGGCTACTTCAAAGATGAGTCAGGAAGATGCCGGGAAGGCACCCTGCTGATAAAAGGAGTCTCTGCATATGAAGCCGAGCCCATAGGCTATCCGGACATGGAGAGACTGCTACTTTACACAACAGGGCTCCCCAACAAAAAACAATTACATTTTTAATTTATGTGTGTGTGCCCACACACACTAGTGCACATACACCACAGCATTTGTGGAGGTCAAAGGACAACTTGTGGGATTTGATTCTCTCCTTCCACCATGTGGATTCCAGGAGTTGAATTTGGGATCATCAGAATTGGTGCCAAGTGCCATTACCCACTGAGCCATCTCACAAGCTCCTTGTCCTTTTTGAGACAGGATCTTATCTAACCCAGGCTACTCTGGGATTATAGTTGCATGTCACCACCCTGGGATGTTTAATTTTTATCACTTGTTTTCCATTTTTCTACTGATTGCACCCCAGGGGAGGGCTTAGCAAACAATAAAGTGAGTTACTTCCCTGGAGTGGGGTATGCCAGGTAATGTCAGGCAGTGAGCAAACTTGGGGACGCCTCAGAAATATTTGAACCTCACTACTTTGAATAATCAGAGAAGAAGCTGATTAAGAAACAGTCATTTTCAATTTCCACTATAATTTTCTTCATTGCCTTCATGTGTGTTTTGTGCATCTGAATCCCCTAAAATTCCCCACTGTGTCGTGTTGTGCTGCTCTGATGGCAAGCTAACTAGGAAAGAGGACCGACTTGTATCTGCTGAAACTCTGGTTTCAGGAAGTCAGTTCTCCAGAATCTTCAGCTTGCTTGAAATGAACAGAGATAAGAAAGGTGGTATCACAGGAAGGCCCTCTAGGGAAGCTTCCCACTTCCCCTGTTAGATTGCCTCTCCTCTGAGAAAAGGGGAACTCTTTTAAGCTTACTCAAAAACATTAGAAAGAAATGGGATATTTTAGAGTGTACTTTTATTAATAAATTAATTTTTTGAGACAGGGTCTCACTGTGTAGCCCTAGCTGGCCTGGGACTCACAGAGATCCACCGCCTCTGTTTCTTTAGTGCTTGGATTAAAGGTGTGTGCCACCACACTTGACTTTAAAGTACACTTTAAAAACGTATCTTAAAATTTTTTTATTGATATATATTCATTATTCATACCAATGAGATTCATAAAGGCATTTTTTTGTTTTTTAAATTTTGTTTTATTTTTATTTTATGTGTATGAGTATTTGGCCTGCATGTATGTAAGCACATCTTCATCATGCCATGCCTGTGGAGGCCAGAAGAGGATGTTGGATCCCTCAGGAGCTGGAGTTACAGATGGTTGTTAGCCACCATGTGGGTACTGATCCTGGGTCCTCTGCAAGAGCAGCCAGTGCTCTTTACTGCTGAGCCATCTCTCCACCTCCCTTTTTCCTTTTTACAGGGATATATTTATTTTCATTTTATGTGTATAAGTGTTTTACCTGCATGTATGTATGTGTACCATGTG